GGCTACTACAATGGTTCCGCTGAGGATCATCCACCGCACTATTTCCTCGAGGAGGATGTGGTCCTGGTGGTGCCGCAGTATCGCGTGGGTGCGCTGGGCTGGCTGACCACCTTCACGGACGATATGCCCGGCAATGCGCCAATTGCGGATATTCTTTTGGCACTCGTGTGGGTGCAGACGCACATCCATCTGTTCGGTGGCGACCGAGAGCAGGTGACAATATTTGGACAGAGTGCGGGCTCGGGTGTGGCCAGTGCCCTGCTGTTGAGTCCACGCACCGAGGAGCATCTCTTCAAGCGCGCCATTGTGCAGTCGGGTTCGATTTTCGCACAGTGGGCCATCAACAGCGATCCGCGCGGACAGGCTATAAGAATTTGTGAGAAGCTGCGCTGCACCGGCTGCGAGCAGGAGGATCGCCTGTGGTTGTGTTTGCGCAACTCAACGGTCAAGGACATCCTCAAGGCCACACAGACGGAGACATTCGCACCAGTTGTGGGCGATCTGATGGGCATTCTGCCACAGCATCCCAGCGAGCTGGTGAAAACCTACAAGCGGCAGATTCCATTGCTCACTGGGTTCACGGAACACGACGGGTCCTTTATACTGGCAAGTGGGTGGCTTACTCATCCAGCGATGTGTGTGGCAGCAGCTTAATGGTTTCCCTTTTGCAGGCTACTACGACATGATTGCCGCCAAGTTGACCAATGTGAGTGCGCTGACGGTGCGCGAATTCTCCGTGGGACTCATGGAAATGGCCAAAGATGGCACCGGGCTGACGGAAAATCTGCTTTATCGGTTGCTCTTCACACCAGAGCTACTCAACAGTCACGATCACAAGAGCGCGGTGCCCGCCTACTTCGATGTGAGTTGGACTTACACAAACCAAAGGATTTGTACACCATCTTTCCCCTCTTGCAACAGCTTACGTCGGCCTACATGAAGTCCCCTGTGATAACGCTGGCCACGAAGCTCTACACACAGCAACCAGCGGCGCCCGTTTATGTCTACAGCTTTGAGTATGAGGGAAAGTACACGCGTTTTGGCTATGAAATGGGCAACGAACACTATCCCTTCAATGGGGGTGTGCATCATTCCAATGAGAATCTCTATCTGTTCTCCACACATCCCCTGGTGGGGCAGGACTCGCGCATGTCACAGAAAATGGTCGAGCTGTGGACATCCTTTGCCATCGATGGCAGGCCCAAGGAGCTGAGTCCACTGTCCAGTCCCAGTGGACCCTACAATCGGTTGGCAATGAAAATAACAACAGGCGAGGATCTGTTGGAGACGCTAACCGCAGCCATTGATGATCCAAACAATTGGCGACTGCAGCGAGAGAATGTGGACTTTTGATGGCAACTTTTTTCCTATTTCTGCTTGCAATTAGTTAAGGGCTATATATCCCATATGCACGTATTACTTTCGACTAATTAGACTTAGCTTGTTCCTTTATGACTGGCGAAACACTCACCTTTCCGTTGAGCTCCTCGTTGGGCAGCGCACTGGCCACAATGTTGGAGCAGTAGCTATCAATGTTCTTGCCACAGGCGCTCTGCAGCGATGGATTGAAGCGGAAATCTGTGTTCTGTTCAATCATGCGATTGACCACAACCAAATGGCAGCGCTGATCGAACTGCGTGTCATCCTTGTAGGTCTTGAGGCAGTCCAGCAGCTTCGCAGAGTCCGTGCTGGGGCAGAACTTGTAGATCATCTCCTTGCACGTATTGAGCAGAGTGTAGTCGGTGCCGCTGTCTCCCAGCTCGGATTTCTTGATCATAAATATGGCATGATGGCAGGCCTTGCCCAGACTGGGCGTCTTCTTGATGAGACACTCCAAAGCCTGCAAGAGAATAGTTTGCAAATCAGAGTCGGCTCTTTGGGGCTGCACTTAGTGTGTCGTTTGAGTGGGGTGCGGTGAGAGTGTGTTAATTAGATTGTGAATAGCTTAAGGATGGTTAAGATAACTTGCATTTTTATTCACCTGACCGGGACCCTTTTGATCACCGCAGAATTGTTCCAGTTCCCGATTGCAGGCATTCGCCAGCTTCGGATCCAGCTGTATGCTTTCCCTTTGCTGATACAGCTGCGACTTGACTTGGTGGCGGCACTCCTTGGGTATTTGATGGCGCTGCGCCTTGATTGTATCGTTGCGCATCACCTCACTGAGGCAGCCGACCACATCGTTCTTGGTGATGCTCGAGGAGCAGAAGCGCTGCACATACGGACGGCAGGCCTCCTTGAATTTGGTGGTGAAATGAAAGTTCTTCAGGGAGATTATTTGAAAGTGTTCAATGGCCGCGCGACAGCGTAGATCTTTGCGCAGATCGGCATCGTTTTTGTGCGCTATAAGGCAGTCCATCATGTCGCCTTATCAAAAAGGAACGAGAGTGTTTTGAGCATGCAGAAACTAAAGATTTGGCTAAAGGCCTTACCATTATCCTTGCCACTCTTGAGTATGGCTGAACAATGCTGCTGCATGGCCTCACCGCAGACGTTCATTATGACAGGATTGAGTTCGACATGGGCGGCCTCCTCCTCGGTATATTTGACCACAACCGTCTTGCACTCGGGCTGCAGCTGGTCCATGTTCTTCTGCAGGCACTCCATTTCGCTGCCCTTCTCCACGCAATCGGCACAGAAGAGCGACAGATCGTTGAGGCAATAGTCCTCCACCTCGGGTATGAGATCCATGGACATGGCACGCTGGCGCATCACTCGCTTCACCTCCTTGAAGCAGTCCTTGCGCAGCGTTTGATGCTCATCCTCGCTGAAGGCCATGCGATGCAGGCAGGGCAGTATCATGGGTCCTCGCTCGGGGTCCATTTGGACATTCTGCGCATCGTCCCACTGCCGCTTGGCCCGGCAATACTTGACGGCATCGTCGCGGCAGTGCTTGTATAGCTGCGGATCCAGCTTAAAGTCGCGTGCCACAAAGTACTCGATGATGAGCAGCGCCTGCTCGCACTCTGGCAGCATCGAGGGTGTGCCAATGCGTTCGACGAGGCATGACATGACGCGCGCCTCGCCACCCTCCACATCCTTGCAGGCCACATCCACAACTGGCTTGCAGGCACGCCGCAGCACTGGATCGACTCGCCAATCCTCGCCCGCATCGCTGACCTTGATCAAAGTCTCCAATCCTCGCTGACACTGGGCCGTGACACGCCTCTGCGGTCGCCTGGCCTTCACATGCTCCAGCAGGCAGTGGATAATCTCACCGCCAGTGCCGGTCAGGCCATTCACCAGCTGGGCCTTGTGCTCCTCCGGGCAGAACTTGGGTATGTCATCGGCACAGTCACTCAGCAGTTCCGGCGACAGCTGGTAGTCTGTCATCAGCATGCGACGATGATCGGTCAGCTCTGTCAGACACGAAGGCGCCAGCTTGGTGCCGTTCTTGGACACAGACTCCAGACAGAGCAGAATCTGGGCCAGGCGCACGTGCTTGTCCTCGGAGACACCGCGGCGACAGTGATACTGTTTGATGTCATCCTTGCAGGCCTTGGCCAGGCCGTGCGAGACGCGATAGTCGCGGCCCATCTGCTGATCCCTCAGCGAGATCTCCGAAGCGCAGTTGGCCGTCATCGCTGGATGGCTCTTGTGCCGCACCAGGCACTTGTATGCGCCTGGTGTGCCCGATTGCTCCTACAAAGAAACGTGTCATTGGGGGGTGTCATGAAAGCAAATGGATTTCCCACTCACCTGTGAGCAGAGTGAAGACAAATCCTCCGCGCAGGCCCTGAACAACTCGAGCATGCCACGCTGCAGTTCGATGGCGTTCATGGCGGACATGCAGGTGGGCTCAATGCTGGACTTTTGGGCAGTCGAACGCAGGCACTGAACCGTGCCCAGCTGGGACAGCAGCGAGGGCAAGTGTTCGACATTGAGGCGACCGCATTTGTGGTGTTCCACGAGGCTGCTGCAGGCCACATAGAACTCGTCCACGTTGCTGTAGTCGTGGCCCAGCGCATTGTACGCACGCCGGAGATGCTGCTGGCACGTGTTGCTCTGCGGGAGCTGCAGGCGCTGCTCATTCAGGCACTTCCACATGTACACAGAGTTGAGGCAGGTCTCCAGCTTAGGGCGCTCCTCTGGGCAGTATGTGGGCAGGAGTGTATTCTCTATCCATGCGGGAAGCTGCAGCTGCCGCTGTTGCATCCAGAGTGCATGCTGACAGATTTCGGGCAGAGCCTCCAGTTGGCTCGAACTGAATGTGAGAGCACACTCCAGCATGGACAGATTGTCGGTGGACGCTTGGTGCGTGCAGAATTTCTTTAAATCCTGGCACTCTGGCAAATCGATGATGCTGTGCATTTCCTTGGTAGCCTCATTCTTATTGTCCACGTCAATGGCGACGCGGCGGTGGCGGTGCAAATCGCCGGCTGCTGCTGCGGCCGCCGCCAATAGCACCAGCAGCAAATGCTTCATTTTGCGGTGATTTGTGTCTGGAAGAACTGTCTTTGGCTCTCAGCGACTTGTCATCTAAACTGGCCGACTGATAAGTTTGCTTGCGTAAGCTATAATGTAAGCGGCTCTATGTGCAATATTCAGCAATTCGACGCGCTGCTGGTCTTGGCAATTGGGCATGAAATATACTGAAGAGTGCTTCAGTCCGTCCTAGAACAAAAACAAACAGAAAGCCGGCTGAAAATGCTCTTACTTCTTGGTCATGCTTCAGAATTAACTTTGGGCCCGGGTAATATCCACTTTTCTATTTATACAGCCTGTGCAAACTGTTGATTCAGCGCATTTTTAACGCATTTTAACTTTTTGCAACAAATTCACTTGTGACCGATGAACAGAATAACTATCGGCTAGACAGCGATATATCGATATCGGTTTAAACAAAGCAAATTGTTGTATTTTATGCTTATGATTACAAGGTAAAATAAATAAATTGCACTTGAATTAAATTTCCTCATAAAACTATTTAGTTTTGGTTTTAAAAACATAATTGAAATACTTAATGTGCTATCGATTACTAAGCTGCAGTTGTGGGCGCCCATCACTAGCCTATGAATCGCTCTGTCTGCCAGCAAAAAACAAGAAAATTTTCACCCGCAACACAACTAGAAATCTTTGGTAATTGTTTTAACCCACAACTACGGCTTCACAGTGGACATCGTCAAGCGCTAAGGAGGCAACCGAACGCACACCGCTCATGGACGGCCATGTCAATGCCTCGTCCTCGTCAAGGAGTGGCGCTGGCGCTGATGGTAGTGGCCTGAGCGGCGCAGCAGAGCGTTTGGAGCGTCCTCCAAGGCGAAAGCAGCCAAGAAGCAGTTATGGCTCCAATAATCAGGATCAAACAGATGCGGTAGGTGTATCTACGACACTTTGGGCTAATATTACTTATTTGTGTTTCTTTGCCAGGCTGTACTTGCTGTCCCCAATGTGGCTGTGAGGGGCGGCCCTTCCGGCTCTTCTCGACCAGCGAGATTGAGTGGCGGTGGCGCCGGACCTACCCCAAATGAAAACGAAGAGGATCAGGGCTTGAAATACGGCGCACAGCATGTCATCAAGCTCTTTGTGCCCGTCTCCTTGTGCATGCTGCTGGTGGTGGCCACAATCAACTCGATCAGCTTCTACTCCAGCACTGATGTCTATCTGTAAGACAGAAAGAAGATGTCTCTTTTGGTAAAGAAGATTATTATCTTGCACTTTGTTTAATTGCAGTCTGTACACTCCCTTCCATGAGCTCTCACCCGAGCCGAGTGTGAAATTCTGGAATGCTCTGGCCAATTCTTTGATTCTGATGAGCGTGGTGGTTGTGATGACAATTCTATTGATTGTCCTTTATAAGAAACGTTGCTACCGCATCATCCATGGCTGGTTGATACTCTCTTCCTTCATGCTCTTGTTCATTTTCACGTACTTATACTTGGAGTAAGTATGGACCCTCCTCCTTTTGGGCTAAATCTCATTGTTCGCTTTGCTTTCAGGGAGCTACTACGCGCCTACAACATACCCATGGACTATCCCACTGCCCTGCTATTTATGTGGAACTTTGGTGTGGTTGGCATGATGTCCATACATTGGCAGGGACCTTTGAGACTGCAGCAGGGATATCTCATATTTGTTGCTGCCCTCATGGCTTTGGTCTTTATTAAATATCTGCCAGAGTGGACTGCCTGGGCTGTCTTGGCAGCCATTTCTATTTGGGGTGAGCATAAATAACATTTTGTGTGCCATTTTTATTGATTGTTTTGCATTGACAGATCTCATTGCTGTCCTCACACCTCGAGGACCTCTGCGCATACTTGTGGAAACGGCTCAGGAGCGTAATGAACAAATTTTCCCCGCGTTGATCTACTCCTGTAAGGACTACCCCTTTGCTGTGTATCTTTTAAATTCTGGAATTCTCTCCCTCTCCCTCACAGCCACTGTCATCTATACGTATATGGGCACACATTATACACCGCAACAAACGGAGCCCGCAGTCACTTCCTCGCCCTCATCGAGCAATTCGACCACAACCACAAGAGCCACACAAAACTCTTTGGCATCGCCAGAGGCGGCTGTGGCCAGCAGCAGCTCCCGCACAGGTAATACCAATCGCACAAATCCTCACCAGAATCAGCGGGATGATAGCAACGTAATGGCAGCTGAAGGTATGCCACTTGTGACTTTTAAAAGCAATTTGCGCGGAAACGGTACATATGCATTATATTTTTTATGATTTAATTTACTTCTCCCATATGTACAACGCTTCTCTTTGGCTATTCTCTCTGTGTGTGTGTTTTGATCTTGAAAGTATTTACTCGTATTTAATGTCTTGGTATTTGGTCTAAGGCGCTGCTAGTAGAACATTTATATTCTATTTGGAGATATAGTTATATGTATATAGAGCTATACATGTTGAATCTTTAATACTTATTTCATTACATTCCAGCTGAGGCAGCTGGCTTCACCCAGGAATGGTCTGACAATCTCAATGACCGTGTGGCGCGTCGCCAGATTGAAGTTCAGAGCACACAGAGCGGCAATGCCCAACGTTCCAACGAGTATCGCACTGTCACAGCACCAGATCAGGCTCAAGCAGATGCACAGGAGGAGCGTAAGTTGCCCCAGTATGGATCCTTCCTTTATTAGAAATTAATAAGCAATTTATTTTTCAGGTGGCATCAAGTTGGGACTCGGCGACTTTATCTTCTATTCGGTATTAGTGGGAAAGGCATCCAGTTATGGCGACTGGACCACAACGATTGCCTGTTTTGTGGCCATCTTGATTGGACTCTGTCTCACGCTGCTCCTTCTGGCTGTGTGGCGTAAAGCTCTGCCAGCCCTGCCCATTTCCATAACATTTGGCTTGATATTCTGCTTTGCCACGAGCGCAGTGGTTAAGCCATTCATGGAGAACCTGTCGGCCAAGCAGGTCTTCATATAAGAAACACACAGGAATTAAGTGGACAAGGACAAGTCTATGTCCCTCTTATCATAGTCTAAAAAAGCTTTTTAAACTTCAATCTTTATTAACAAAATGCATAGTAACAGAGAAACTATTTCTTGCGCCTCACTATTGTTTTATCTACCACATTGATGAGCCAGCCGGGTTCCAGGCCATAGAACACTTGCCTCGGATCCTTGGCGGCCGAGAGCATAGCAAAGGAAGGATCGTCTTCAATGCGGGGCAGTTGATAGCCATATTTCTGTGCCAACACCAGCCGATCCTTGCTTATCTCCTCGGGATTAGCCAAATACCCACGATTCTTCGCATCTGTGTAGTAGTCCAAGGCATCCTGAGGCGGCATCATACGATTGGGTATCGGCACTCCCTTCTCGAACCACTTCTTGGCATTGGAGAGCATGTGCAGGCTTCGCGGATCGTAGTAGGCTGTACGAATGACGCCACCGTTGCGCTCGATGGCTGCAATTACTGCCTCGTTCGCATGCTGTACCTCAATATTGATCTTGGCCTTAAAGTTGTCCAATCCTTCGTCGGTCAGCTGGAAGCCATATTCCATTTCCGCTGGCTTCAAGTTCAACAAACCAGAGTTGCACAACGTACTTATATCCACGGGCTGGCTGACATCTATTCTGTTCGTATCGATCAGCACCTGCAGCTGCAGTAGGGAGATGGGTGGGTACTGTCGCTTCATGTGGTGTCCCTTGTAATATGGCTCATAGGGAAACCGCATGTAGAAGGGCTGATTGCCCGTCTCATAGCCCAAACGCATGAAATTCTGGCGTTGTCCGGAGCCCTTGTTGCCAGCTCCATGTTTGTCACCGCCATGTTGCGCTCGGCCGCGCTTGTCCTGCAGAGCACCGAAATGGATCGCGGGTTTGTCAAAAGTTGTTATTTAACCGGTCAGGCCAGCAGCACTCACGTTCTGTTTGGAGTTGGGATTCGGTCGCAAGTTTCCAATTTGCACACGCGGCAACGTTCTCAACAGCTTCAAAGCCTTGTCGGAGGTTTCCCGCAAGTGGGCCATGCTGCAAAGCTCGTTTTCTTTAACAAATGTAAGTTTACTTCTGAAAACTAAAAATTTAACACGATTTTGGCTAATCAGCTGGTTCCCGATAACGATATCTTCAGAATTTTTTCAGCACTGCCGACTGCAGCAAAAGGTGCTGGAAAACGAAAATATTTATCGTGGCTTGAAAAAATAAGTAAATAAATAGACACCTACAATTTTATAAATTCCATTTAAACTTAGTTAAATAATTCATAAAACTGCAAAATGACGTGTGGAGCATGTCGGGGACGCAAAGAAAAAGGTATAAAGTGTCTGCTAGCAGCGCTGGATACGATTAAAGAGCACGCCCTAAGTGAGTTGCAGAAATCTTGTTTAAGCTATAGTGATGCAACTTAATATATATAATATATATAATATATGCAATATATATAAATTAATTTAGTGATGCAACTTGAGGCGGAAGAGAGTGCCAAGACTATTGTAAGCCTGCAAACTGATAATAAAAAACTGCAAGATCTTAATGAAAAGATGCACCGGGCTGTGGATCTCCTAAAGGAACGTCAGGAGTCCCAGGCCATTGTCCATACTGACAAGCGACGTAAAGTGTCGCCAAAGAAGTTGAAGGAAGATATTTCACCACTTCCGCAAAGCCAGAGCTCCCTGAACATGAATATAGCGCTCACCAGCATAGATCTCCTCTCCGACGAAGACGCAGAAGAGCAGGAGGAAGAAGAAAGCATAGCCGAAACGGAGCCTCCCTCAACTGGAAGTCCTCGCAAGCTCTGCAAGCGGCTGTATCAACGCAAGCCTGATGTGAGGAACTTAGAGAATGTGCAGCCCACTAGCGTGAGCAGTGAGAACCAAAGCTGGCTCCGGAAGACACCAAAGATGATGACAAAGCTCTCACTGACACACAGAGGCAGCAGCCTACAATTGAAGCAGACTCGCCTCAAATTTGAAGGCAGCAAGGCAAGTGGCAGCGATAGAGATGTGATTGAGGCCAGTCCCAACCCAAGCCCCGCTTCGAAGCGTGCCCCAGCCTCACGCTCTTTGCTTCAAAGGTATTTATGTCATAAACCAGTGCCTATCCTTGTGTAATATCAAATTCCAAGCTTACAGAATCGACACAGGCAACGCCTTAAACAGAGAGAATTCCTTTTTGAGCAAGAGCAACATCAAGAACGCTGAGCCTAGCTTCGACATGGTTATAGATGATGACGATGCGATCGACAGTCAGCCTATGGCTAGCCTCGAACTGCCAGTAATGCCGCCTCCTGTCTCACCTCCACACCTGAAGATGAGCAGCTCAAACGACAGCGTCGTGCTGCTCACTCCTGCCACCCAGGACATTATCTTTGTGAATGATAGCAGCGAAGCTTTAGACAAAATCGGCACAATGGATGTTCTAGCTGAGATTATGAAGGAGGACGACGAAGCCTGCTCCTCCGCTTTGCTGCAGTACGAGCAGATAATGATTGACCAACAGAAGCAGAATCAACCCAAGCCAACAGTTCAGACTGCAGCCAGAGACATCAAAAACGAGCCAACAACACAGCCAAATGAGGAGCAAGGCAATGAATCAACAAGACTTTCTGAAGATATTGAAAAATATATGATGGAGGAGGACGACAAGGAATCTGATGACGAAATTCCACGACCCATAATGGTAAAAGAGGAACCTAAATTGTCCTTAAAAGAGCGCTTCGAAATTGAATGCAAGGAGTGCGAAAAGGCAAGCACAACAGCAGATACTTAAATTTACATAAACTAATTATTCTCTTTGCAGTTTATAAACTTTATGGCACCCCACCTGAATGATGAAAAGATTGAACTATATTTGAGCACATGTAAACATTTTAATGATCTTAATGCTTCGCCGCCTGGTTTCTGGAATCCCCACATGGTTTCCTTTGCCGAAGACGATCCCCGCAATGAGGTCTTGATTGACGATCGTTTTCAGCGATTAAAAAAATAACATTGGGTGCATATTTCAATATTTATATTTATCATTTGATATGATTATAATTTACAAATTGCCGCGCTTCTCCTGCTCAATCTCGATGGCCGTGAACAGGGACTTGAAGTTGCCGGCGCCAAAGCCCTAGAATGATTTCATTTGCGTTAGTAAAAATTGTACAAATAAGTAAAACACTAATTTTACATTGTGATTGTGGCGCTGAATGACTTCGAGGAAGAGCGTGGGCCTATCCTGGCAGTTCTTCGTGAAGATCTGCAGCAGGTAACCGTTCTCATCGAAATCAATTAAAATATTCAATTTCTGTAGTATTTCCATGTCCTCCTTGATGATGGTGCGACTGTGCGAAAGCTGCTCCTGCAGTATCTCGTAGTAGGAGGCTGGAATGGTCAGAAACTCGGTGCCGCGTGCCTTTAGATTGCTCACCGCCTGGATAATATCATCGGTATTGAGAGCAATGTGCTGTACACCCGCTCCGCCATAGTACTCCACATACTCCTGAATCTGGGACTTCTTCTTGCCACTGGCCGGCTCATTGATTGGCATTTTCACCGTCTCCTCGTAGTTGGCCATCACAATGGAGCGCAGGGCCGAGTACTCGGTATGGATTTGCGAATCGTCCACCGACCAGAACCGATGGAACTGCAAAATCCTCTCATACCAAGAGGCCACACTCTCCATCTCAAGATCAGGCTGATTGCCCACCACATGATCGATGAAGTTCAGCTTGGTCGCTGGCAGGTTCTTGGTCACAACATCCTGGGGGGAACTCCGGAAGCCTGGCAGAAAGTCCCCAGCATAACCATTGCGCTCCACAAAGGTGTGAGTGGTGTCGCCATACTAAATGGTGAGTATTCAGGTGAAGGAATTTCAGTGCGGGTTTCAGCTCGCTCCACTTACCGTCTTGATGGTGGCAAATCTCACGAATCCATTGTCATCGCTTTCCTCCCAAATATCGCGCACCACTTCGGCACCTCTGGACACGGCCAGGGTAAAGATTGCATTCAAATCCTCCACTTCGAAGGCCACATCTTTGACGCCATCCCCGTGCCGCATCAGGTGCATTCCATGCTCTCGATCGTCCGGCGTATAGGCCGAGACGAACACAAAGACAATCTTGTTCTGGCGCACAGCATGCTTGGCAAAGCGTCGCTCTCCGGTCTCCAATCCCTGATAGCCAAGTGGTTCAAAGCCCAAACGGGTGGTATAATAGCTGGCCGCCTGCTTGGCGTTACCAACGTAAAACGTCAAGTGATCAAAGCTTAGGAATGTGCCGGCTTCAGGCTGAACAGGGTAAGGGAACGTGTTAAAATTGTATGATTTGGTTGGGTTATTGTCGTTAAAACTTACTTTGGTTCCTTTGTCAGTATAGCTGGTCTGTTGGCAGAGCGGAAATAGAGCAAAGAAATAGGTTATGGAATGGAAATATTTAAATTATTAAAGAGTTGCTGTCTTTCCCACGTATAGCACTTTTACTGCGCAACGATCTTTAGTTCAGCAAAGTTTTAAATTTATTCTCAAAAGTATCATTCAAAATGTCCTTAAATCACTTTTATGTTGTCACATCCACGTTGCTTCTTTTCACATTTACCATTATCACTCAGACTCAATTTATGCAAATTCTCTCCTCACACGCGATAAAGATTTCTGTGTTCCGTTGATCTTACACGATCTACAAGTTGATTATGGCCTGAGCTCTGGCAAATCAGAGCTTTATATAGGGCCACCGCAGCGACCGATGATCAGGTGAAAATCCTGTACTAATTTAAATAAAAGCCAAACTAGTATTTTGTTTATTTCAAATGCTATATACATATATCGGAATATCTTAAGCATCTCGCTGTTGTTGTCATTGCTTTTTGCATATTTTAACGAAGATTGCAGAAATCTGTTTACTAGAACAGGTGGCAATGTTTTCTATTGCGAGTATACGGAATTTATGCAATAAACAAACATGAATTGCGCTTTTACAAAGTGGGACAGGCCTCCTTCTCAATAACTTCTTATCACTGCGGCTTTTACAGAGGGTTCTTTCAAGTCAAACATTTCACTTCCTTTAGCCCGTTATGCCCGGCAATATCTCAACTCATTATGCAAAAATATTTCATGTGCCATAGATAAAGAAATCCCCTTAATATTCATGAGACGCGCGGCAGTCGCCACAGTTGCCAAGTCACATTGAACTTGAGGCGAGTTGCGAGCCCCCAAAAAGTAACAATACACGAGTGAACACAGTGTTAATGTTAATCAGAGACATTATTGTTATTGTTGCACCGGATTATGTATATCTCTATGGCAGTTGTTTTGCATTAGAATTGCTTTGACGAGTTCTTAAAATACAAACAAAAAACTACAACGAGGTAACCCGTTTACCCAAGCGCCAAGAAAGTTGTTTGTTTTTGCAGCTCTGGCATACGTTGGGCATCATTCATCTACTTTGTTTAGTTATTGCTTTAAATGGGTTATTAAATGCGGGCTTAAGACTATTTCGATTGAAAATTCTTTTAGATTGCTCGTATTTTTGGAGTGTTTGAAGTTTTTTTCCTCTCTCTGCTCCACTCATATTATATTTTGACATAGGGCAGTTCCTCTTTATCAAGTTGACTGACGACCGTTGTCAGGTGTTTGGCAACCATTCGACACGCACATAAATTAAACGTTTCCCCTCCCAGCAGCTTCGATGGCTACTCTAAAAATACTAAAACACATGGCGTATGAGCAATTCGGGCAGCTAAGCATTAATGATCAGGCCCTAGACAAAAGTCTACCCAGCTGCTGGCTAATGATGAACTGACAGTGCCCCAACAGTGGTAAAAGTGGGTTGAGTATCAGCGAAATGGTCTAGTGGCCATTGGCAGGAAGCCAAATCGATGCTTGACATTTATTATGATTGGCTTATTAGGGCGCAGCGGAGGCGATAACCCGCCAACATTTGAAGGGAGCTTGTACACTTGTCGCTTGATTGTGCCAGCCGTAGAGCGGTCCATTAAATATTATGGATTTTCAATTGATTCAGTTTATGCCGATAGAACTAAGGGAAGTCTGACTCTATATCATATTACTATCATTCTGAACCTTCATTTGTTTTCTTGGCTGCGTGTATTGATTCCTCCTACACCTGTCGCAACCTGAGTTGTTCCATTAGTCATAGAATCTTACCCACACCAGTCCTATCCCAACAAAATGTATTCTACCACCCCTGCTGCTGCTGCTGCTGCTGCTGCATCATCTACTCAAGGGGGGGGGGCACACACTCTCCACCAGACTTTGCCATTAGCTAAACAAACTTTTGTCCTTGGCGAAGCAACGGTGGTTCTCTGCTCTTGGGTTGCTCTCGGGTTGACGTGGGAAGCCTGTTGCATTGCTGTGAGAGGAGGATTGGGTTTCCAAGGCGGCTCTCGCACTCTTTCTCCACTCTCCCTTTGTTTGGCTGGAGAGAGCCGAATGGGAACAGCATTGCCAGCATGGAAAAGTTTGCCCTGTCTTAGGGGTTGCTTGTGTAAGGGCTTACGTTCGGGTCTACTGACGCCTTGGCGGGCAAAGGACACCGCAGACAGGAGAAGGATACGAGTTTCTATTGTTGTTGCCATAGCCGCAAGCTGTCGCCGGTCTACGTCACGCTTTCCATTCTTCCTTCAGTCGCGTTTAATGCGCTTCCAAAACAACAGCCCCAGCCAGACACAGGCAGCAGACAGCAGTCAGAGACATACCGAAAAAGAGACCCGGGCTCTCGAATTGACAAAACTAAATCACAAATCTGTTTACACAACTTAAGTGGGTAACAACTACCAAAATTATTCATGTGTATTGTTATAATTCAATTCTATTAAAAAACGAACTAACAACAACAAAAACCGAACCCCCAAAACGTACTTGAACTGTCGCTGGTTTTGTGTATAAATCTAAAAAAATCATTTGTCGCCATCTCCATTTTTCGCCCCCCCCAACCCAAACCATGGCTTTTTTTGTTGCTTCTGTGGAAATTTATGTATTTTCAACTTTTTTTGTTCTTCTAAATATTGACAAATTTGTGCGTCTCGCTATGCGATTAAAATCTTTATGCTAAAAAAGCGATCCAAAAACACCAAAATTGCTGGCCCCGAGCCCGAGCACTGACAATTTTCTAGAGCGAGCAAAAGTTCGCCCCAAAGCAAGACGAGAAACTTTTAAAAATTACAACATAAATTATACCACACTCTGAAAGGAATTTCTAGTTTTGGAAAATTAAAAATAGTTTATAGATGATATTTTTGCGATTCTGTTGATTGATTGTTCGGTGTGAAAATGATCATAAATCTGAAATGGAGCGCCGTCCCGTGACGTTTGCTGCCGCCCAGTGCTTCATAGACTGTTACAGTTCTAATAGTACTGCTAGAACGAGTTTAATGCTTGGCGCGGCGAGGACAAAGTGTATTAATGCAGCGGGGAATTCACAGAGAGAGAGAGAGAGAGAGAGAAAGAGAGAGAGAGCGAGAAAGTAAGGGTAAAACGAAAAGGGCATAAGCCAGAGAGCATTTGTTTCATAAGCAGTTATTCTCTCAATATTAGCTGCTGTTGCACTCTCGCATGTTTTCTCCCTTCTTATCAGTGCAATTCTTTGTCTCGCTTGCACTTTTCTGTAACTGTTAGTGGCGCTGCTGTGCTGTGCTCTCAAAGCAAAGTGGAAAGCAAACACAGTGATCAATGTAACGGGAGTCTATGGGAGTATTGGTGTTGTAAAACGATTCCACGTGCGCCTTAACTTGGTTTTACTGTTGTTGTTGTGAACGAGCAGAGATTGGGATCTAGACTTCTGTCATATCGTCGTTGAAGGCATCTAAATTGGCTTGGATAAATATCAGCCACTGTCTTGTACTTTCGCTACATCGTTTTAGCCTAAAAGCTTTGCCCAAGTCCAAAGATTTGCATGCAAATTTGCGAATTAAATTCAGTTTGCGTGCCAAAACTCAATCGTCAAGATTCGACAGGGCCTTCCATTACTTCACTTGCTTGCCCATTCGACGCGCCCTTTGTGCGGCTCATGTGCTGTGTGCCGTGCGCTGTGAGGGGAAGTCCCTTATTATGACATTACCACGGGGAGCCGTTCCCGGCATGATTCACTTTCACCTTGACATGCTTTCGGCACAGCTCTTCTCTTGCCTCAATGTCCTTTCCATTGCGGTGGCAAAGGTATTAAGTTCTTTATGCCTGAGATGCCATCATATAAATGATATTTCTGTCGCTATTTACATGCCGACTTATAGTTTTAAGTATTGTGGTAGCTGAAACCACACAACAACAACCAGAAGTGAACTACAATAACCGCCCACATATCCGAGGTGGCAGAGCTACATTTAATAGTCTTGGGTAATTCTAGAAAGTAAAGTCCATAAAATTTCGCTTTCAAAACATGAAAATAGACATAAGGTGGAGACGGACTATCCATGGCAGGTTGCAGTAAGACAAATAAACAAAAGATTGCTTCGAAAACTTCTTCGCCACATCGTTGATGTGAATTTCTATTTTATTTTTAAAACACACACGGAAAATTATGAAGACCCAAGAAGCTTACATATACGTAGGCATAGGTATATAGATGCAGAGCTATATATACTTAAAGGGATATCTTTTGGGGCATTTAGGTAGGCATAAATTATACAAATATTTCCGTGCTTGTCAGATATTGTTTGTTCGGTATGCCAAGGTATGCTGTCCATTTGTTTGTGGTCTTTTCTCTGGGGGAGGAAATGGTCGTTCTGTTCTGCTTCATTTTTAACAAATTACTGCAGATTATTAAGAGCCATATTATTAATGGAGCATGATTCACATGGGGGCTGCTTTTGATTGAATGTCTGTTGATGGCTGGCGCTAATCATTGCAGGGAAGGAACATGTAAATTAAGCGAATAATTTGTTTATAAACTGGAGGATGTTTGATGATCTCATAAACGATAATCCACTACATAATTGTGCGGTGTAAAAAGTCTCAGAAATGCACTCACAAAATGCCATTTATTTGTATGTGTTATCAGAAAGGGCTTCACGAGTTTTGGATGTTTAAGTATCACGACCCCGTTTTACATATTTGTATACATTTTTATCTGTATAGCAATTTGGACGAGTGCGAATGACTATGTGTTGACCATCAAAATATTTGCAGTTTTATATCATCGCCTTTGACTTTTTGCAAAAACTGTTCCCACTTCGTTTGGTTCTCTTCGGCCAATACCGTCGATAAGGAATCTCCTGACTTGACTTCATTTGAGTACCTTTCAATGCGGCCAAGCCAGCACACAGCTAGTCGGCATTTTCTTTCATTCAGGCGAACCACGTCCACGTCCACGTCCACGTCCACGTCCGCCACTGCGTCTGCCTCTGGCCCGGCCGAGTGGTAGCGACGGCTACAGCGACTCGCAGCGTTCAGAACGAATTGGCATAGGCTGAGAATCGGACGTGTGGCCCGTCGATCTTGATGCGAATACATCGCAGCGGTACGACAAATACTCATATGTATAATATTTTGTTCACTCCTGTCGGGTGTGTCTGTGTGTGTGAAATCTGTAACTTTAATTTATGATATGGGGAGCCATTGGATGGCTGCACGATAAATTATTCCCCAGAATGCCAGGCATTTTTATCAACCAAATTTTAAAGTCATTTATCAGATGAAAGAAGGCAGAAGAAATGCTGTGCGATAATTTCAAGTGGATATGTGGAAATACAACAAACAACAGAAAATCTGTAAGCTGTGTGAGATGGCCACAAATGTTAATAAATAAGGAAAAGTTTAATTTAAAGAGTGCTATAAAATATACATATAAAAAAGTAGTGGCATAGCAGAGATATTTAAAATATAATTTAGCAAATGAAAATATTATAAATTAAAGGAGATTCCCTTACCTTTAAATGGATTTCCCCCTGTTGCACCCAATTACTCCAGCCAAAAGGAACCGAAGTCTGTAAGATATTATAAAAAAAATGATTTAACAATTGAACCAATCAGCTGTAAAGTGCACAAGACACAAAGTTGTTCGTGTGGAAAACTAACGCGTGGAGAAACTGAACTGTAATTCGAGTCTGTATTCAGATCACGACCGCATTTCTAACCCAAGTATTTGTTCTCGTCTCGTATCCAACCATGCGACTTATAGATCGTCTCCGATTGCTGCGACTGCCATCAACTGAGCCAAAATAAAGCGCCACTAAAATCCAACTAATTAATGTGATAATTGTGCAAAATAGGGCGAGCAAAAAGCAACATTAGGCACGATGTGGAACCAAGTGGAGTGCAATGGATCCGCCGGGGAGGACTGCCTGTGCCAGAGATTGCGTGGCGCGACCGAGAGATCTCACGAAGGCGTAACAGCCCCCAGGGTCAGCCTCTCTTATCAGTCGAGCTCCACATTCCTGCTGCTGATACTCTCCCTCAGCGGCACGCTGGCGGCACCACAAACCTCCTGCATCATGTGCGACAAGGAGGATCTACGGCCCCGCGTGCCGCCCTACAGCGACAGCTACGAAGAGTTCACCTTCGACCATCAGGTGTCACAGCATGATGCCATGGAGGCGCTGCGCAGATTCAACGAGAGTAAGGCAGTCCCCTGCCATGGGTTCTGAGGATCAGCCATCTGATTTGTGTTGCTTTTAATTTGCAGCACATGGTCTGAAGAATGCCTGCAATACGGTCAAGTGTGATTCAAATGTCTTGAAATATTGCCTGGGAAATCAGGTGAGTGCCTGCACTGAGAGTGAGAGTAGAACTTCACTGTAAACATTTCGCTTTTTCAGTTCATCAACGATCATTGCTGGTGCGAGCTGCAGCACAGAGAAGGTTAGTATCAAGCATGATATTTATGACTTGCCACAAGAGTCTCGGCACATGGCGCTCCCCCCCCCTTGCAACAATAAACAAACTTCTCCCACAATGAACACCGTCGAGTGCCACTAACCCACTTGCAGCGGCAGAGGCAGAGGCAGTGACTGAGGCTGAGGCAGTAAGCCAAAGAGGTTCATTAGCTCATTTTGGGCCCTTAACAAGCGGCCATCACGCAAGCCACCGATGACGCAACAAGAAAGAGGAGACAAGCCACAAAACTGTCCCATGGTCTGGTATCTACTTGGAGGAGAATGTGATAATTGGAGTCAGAATAAGGTTGTTCCCTCTTGGCACGTGATGCGGTGCGGAGCGGTGCGGAGCGGTGCGGAGCGGTGCGGAAGTTGTTAAGTCTGGTCCACTGATTAAACCGCAACCTAATGCCGCTGCACGCTTCATTGCACTGCTTTGCATTAAGTGCCCAAGTCGAAACAGTGAAGACTCCACCAGCAGCAATTAGAATTAATTTACAGCTGGAAATTCTATTGAGAAAATATTATAAATCCATTAGTTGTAGCTGCTATCCCCTGTAACCCGATTCTTTTGGCATTCCAAATGTCCAAGCGTCAGTTTATAATTCACTTTTTATAGCCTTATTTGTTTCTATTTGATTTTGATGTGCATTCTGCCTGGAATGGGCTTGTGGGTTCGGCGCTTAGCTTGTCCACAGTTGAATGATTTTCTTCAAGGCGTGCACAGTTTTCCAGTCCGCTGTGTGTAGTTTTACTCTTCAAATGCACTCGCCTTTAAATTGTTCTGTGTGTGCGCCACACTCATTAAATTCAATTTTGTTAATTTTCCTTCATGTGCTTTGGGCTTATTAGTCTTTTCAGTTGGTGGGCTAATAACTGGGCGAAGGTTTTCCGAACAGTCACAATGAATGCCTTTATTTCTGCACTCATGCTAACTAAAATAAAACTTATATTTGCCTCTCACATATTTATTTACCTTAAAGTTCTTGGAATCGCTATCAGCGGACAGTTGGATAGCTTGTAATTGGGGTTGTTAGGAGCTTATTTGTTCAAGATATCCCCCTAAAGCTCTCCAGCAATCTGGGGCCTCTGTTTATGAGTATTCCCCGAGTGCCAGCACTGACCTGTCTGAACTGAACCGATTGCGGTCTTATCTTTGGCCCAACAAATACTTTGACTGTTTCCAATGTACCTCGAAAATATATTATTTTGCTACTTATTATATGTCTGTTTATGCAGCATTTTTGAACGGCTGAGCTGACGGCCCTTTAGTATTCCATGGGCAATTCCTCTTGATGGGGAACGTGTCAGAAATATTAATCAGAAAACACCTGCCCAGCGTTGGTTGAATGAAATGCGTCTGAGTGGGTGGCTAGACCCTCTCTCCGGGGACCATTGTTAGGTGCCGCTTATAGCACTCACAATTTGAATATTTCCATAATTTGACGCAATTAATTTGGACAGCTTCAGGCACGCAAACACTTCCCTCCCATTTGTTGGCATTGTCAATATTAATATAATTTTTGTGGCGAATGTTGACAGATGAAATGTGATTCATATCACTGAAAATCGACCTAAAGGCTATAGCATAAATCAGTCTAATGTGAGAATAATGCCTTGTTTCAGTGCCGTCCAGTGTAATCAATCATTTCCAAATGGATTTTTCCTAGACCAAACGATCTGTCGATTCGTAGCGTCCTCGCCCCGTCAAACATTAACAACAATTGCGAGCTCAATCACAGAAATTGACCCAACATATTACACTCCGGGCCCCATGTCTATTTGCATTAACTAATAATTATTTAATTGGATAAATATTTGCGACACGAAGCCACAACATTCCCTGTGTGTGTGGGGGGGCCTCTGGGATGGCTGGGATGTTCCAATAAATGTAGACATGGAACTTCATAAAATTCAACACGATGAGTTGCCATAAACAAATAAGCTTCTAGTATATGGAAACAGGCTACAGCAGAACAACAGTCTTGCGATCCGATCGAGAAACAATATGTTTCATATTTAGTCACTCGCCCTCGCCCTGATTTTTGTGCTGATTTTTGTGCGTGCCTCTCCATAAACATATTCTATTTTATTGGTTTCCGTTTCTACTCAAAGTGAAAAAGTTTCATAAATTTAATAACTAAATTAAGTGCTTTCCATTATAAATAGGTAAATACGCATAATTCCAAAATGGGCACAGACATGAACAGAGCTGGAAAAATATATGAATGTATTTTCAGGCAGATTCCACTAAATAAATATGCAATAGATAGTACCAGAAATAAGTTTTTATGATTGGCATAGACAGCTGAGTACATAGTCGTAAAGACCTGGGAATTATTTTGGCTGTAGTGCCGAATTTTCAAGGGTCAAAGATGCGTAGGGGGAGCACATATACTTTTGTTCTATTAAATTAAAACCCACAATTTGTTTTCTCTTTTACAGAGGGTCTGCCCTTTGTGCCACACATATGCTATGCCGATGAAAAGGTTCATAGACCGTCCATTGGTTCCTGTTTCCTCTTCGATGAGGTCAAAGAATGCTGCTGTGCACCTGCCTGGGCCAAGAAGTGTAAGTAGTACCAGCGATAGCTAAAGATTCGCTTGAACTCGAATGAGGCATCCATGCCATCAACAAGCAAAGCTAGATGCTAAATCACACACACACATGGGCAGGGTTTAACAAAGAAATGCTAATTTAATAATGTAAATATACTTTTTCAATGATTCGATACGATTTCCACACGGCGCCTTCGATAAACAAACAAATACCAAAAATAACAACAACAATGGGCAGCAAGATCATCCAAATATCATTCTCTGCCCCTTAGCACCGCCGACACACATTAGGTCTCAAATCGAATCATGCTAATTATATTTAGTTTAGAATGCTAATTGATATCGCTCACACAGCAGACCGAGAGAGAGTTTTAAATCATAAAATAAAGCAACGAATGAGGCAGGAGATTTTCAACTACAAATTGGCAACAATAAATTCAAAAGGGTAATTGGCCTTGGTTGTATATTATTGCTGAGTAGTTTATGGCACCAAGAACTTGTAGAGCTTTTGAGCAGCTCCAGATACCCATGGGAAATAAACAAAACACTTTGGCTGAAGGAAGGAGCTTCCTCATAAATAGTAAACTTTAGTTTGCCAGATGGCCATAATAGAGTTTTCTCTGACACAACTTTTAATCTACATTTACATATATTTCTATTGTTTCCAGGGCGACACATTTCGGGCAGTTCACGCAGCCAAAACACACCAAAAATCCTAATAACTTTGCTGTTTGCATACAGTTTACTCCACTGGATAAGCCGGAGAGGGCTAAGTTGTTAAAGCTGTGAGCAGGAGGAGGCGTGTATGGCGTGTGTACAATTTGTAAAAGATAGTCATAGTGATGTAGGATCTAGATGTAGCACGATATTCGAATAAGTGTACTTAGTTCAAACAATGTCCAATGGAAATCAAACCTACTTGCTAAGCATATATTTAAGCGTTAATAAATACATTTTTATAGAGCTAACCGTCTGCAGTTAGCATGGTGTGCTGTGTGTGTGTGTGTGGAGCTTAGATGACTAAATAATGAAGCTGTATCTGCTAAATGCGTATTTTAAAAAAGGAAAACATGTCGATGAACAAAAATTAAAAAGAATAGTCTTTAACACATGCCAGGCCTTCCCAACTATCGTTCGCTTACGGGCTAAAGTTAAACTTAACTACTCCAAAACGGTCCACTAAACCTCGAGTTCAGCAAGTCTATAGTCTCCGCGGTTCTATATGCTAGTACGGCTGCTGAGCGTACGCTGCAAGGCATTTACACAGGACAGCACATCCTCATAGTCCTTGGACCATTCGCGCAGATTGCGCTCCAGACTCTCCAGTCGTGTCTGGCCGAGGCGCATTCCGCCATGCTTGATGGCCGCATAACAGGAGCAGGCGAGCAATTTGAAGCATTGCCGACGCACGGCATTGTGCGCGTGACTCTCCCAGTTGGGCGTTGTGGCCACACACTGCCAGGCCATGCTGACATAGTCGACCAGGGCGTCCCAGTGGGTGGCATCGTGCAGGCGCTTTGCCTGCACTTGCAGCACTCGCTTAAACTCATTGAGATGCATCGATGCCTTGGAATAGGCAGCCGCATCCGTTTTCTTGCACAGGCGAGAGGTGGGCAAAGATTTAAATATCAGCCGCTTGGCATATTGCAGCTCCTGCTCCAACGCACTGCAAAGCAATCAGAGAAGTAAGCAAAGAGAAAACAACTCTAAATGATGAAACCCACCTAATGTCTGGCGTGGGCAGCTTTCGTCGGATTCGTTCCTCGTCGGCGGATGTGTTTATATTGTTCATAATCAAATCGATTAGTTGCTGCTGAGACAGACCCTGCAGCAGGGACGGTAGCTCCACGTCGGAGTTTGTCTGGCCCACTGGGCGATCGTCCATCTTCAGCTTCTTCACAATGGGTGTGCCCGGCCAGAGCTGCTTGGTGGTGGCTGCTTTGATCGGAGAGTATGTCTCCATGGGCGTTGGCTCGGGCGGAGTACTGCCCATGGTCAGGCGCTTCCTTGGCGAGCTGCGCAGGATCATGCCGCTGGTCAACTGCAGGTTCTTTGTGGGCGTACGCTGGAATGGACTTCGCATCGAAGAGCCGCCCGACCCACCGCCACCGCCATTGGACTTGTCGGGCGAAAATGTCGTTGTGAATCGCCGCCGACCGCGCTGGCGTATCACCAGCTCATCCGGTGAGGGTAGCGGCGAGAAGACAAAGTCCTGGCCCTGCACCACATTCGCATCGTTATCCAGGCGCATTCCCAAGCCGCCACCACCATTGGCATTCGGTGTGTTGATTATGGCCGCTGGGGTCGGTTCGTCTGGAGTGCGTCGATTGGCATTTGTCGGAGTATTGGCCATGCGCAGCGCCTCCAGACGATCGGGTATCTCGGCTAGCGCCATGCGAGTCTGCAGCGGTGTCGTCATTACGGCTGCTGCGTAGTGCACAACGACAAAATGCACGCTCATTAAGATTGTATAAACAATTTCACAACGCCCTACACCTGCCACAAGCCCACATACCAATTGATATTTCTTTCGTTGGCGCTGCTGCGGAAACACCTATGGATTGTGCAAATGCTTTGTTTGCCTTTGTGTTGCTTGGGTGTCTATCCTGGCGTCCCTCCTGCGATTGATTCTGTGATTTTTCCTCTATTTTTGTTTAAATTGCGCCAATTTGCAGAAGGTGGCAGCACACTATAGCGGCGGGCTAAAATCGATACATTCTCAACTACTGTATACTCTACACGTGTGGTGTTTTGACTTTGAAGAACATTTCGCTTCGTGTAATAAGTTTTACGCTTTATTTAGCTTGATTTTAATTATCTAAATGGTGGTAATGTTTTATAATATTTTTATAAAATAAGGTCAGAAGATGGGAAGAAATTATTTAAAATACATGCGCGTATTTCTGTGCTCATATTGGAATGAGAAATTCAAATACAAATTTGTAAAATATAAGGTCATAAGTCTAACAAAAATAAGTATTTATCATACGCCTAATTGAGTCTTCATTCAGATTAATTATTTTTACAGTGTTAAACTTCCTTGCAAGCTAGTAATATCAAATATAACATCAAAAGCGGGGAATATGATTTAAGACTACGGTATATTACGGTATATTTTGAAACTGAGATGGTATATTTTGGTAAATTCTTGAGGGTCTGACGATATTAATCGATACTTCCACGGTCACATTCTTTCTTAATTATGGTATCCGGCACGCACAAAGTTATAAAAATGGGAAATATGGAAAAAGTTAACACCACGTTTCTGAAAAAATCATTAAAATATGCATATTGCTATGGTGATCATTGCCACATCATATAAAGGTGGAAATATGAAGAAAACGTTGGATTTTCGTTGAATCAAAATTATCACCGAACACGTGGTGCGCCCGTGTGCACATGAAGAAACGTTGGATGGCTGCTAAACATTTCTTGAGGTAATTTATAATCATTATAATGAATTCCCCATTACGTTACAACTAGAATGATGACATCTACATACCCAATTCTGAGAAATTATGTTGAAATCATTTTAACATGCATCACCATCTGATCTAAAAATCTATTTAAGGCTAACTTTTGTGCGTTTCTGCGTTTATTAATTGGCTATTATTTTATAATTATAGACTATATTGTGGATAAACATATCCAAAGATGATGGCAGCAGCAGATCACTTTCGTACGCTCGTAAAATAGCGAAGAGCGGCGTGCCAACCCCTTGAGGTCTAAAGGTGAACCACGATTTTCAATTATTTCTTGCTATACTTCCATTATGATGAAAACTACATACCATACTCAGAGAAATTATGTTGAAATCTTATTTAACATGCATCACCATCTGACTATAAAATGTATTCATTAATTTCATATTTAAAAGTGAGATGATCATAACCTTTTATTTATATATTTTTCAGCTGTGGTCAGGCAAGAAATAATATCTATTGTGCACCGGCAAGGGCACTGAAATATATGGATCTAGGACTCGAGAGGTAGGCAATCTATATTTAGAACAAGTATTAGTGTTCCCATAATGATGACAACTTCATACCAAACTCAGAGCAATTATGTTGAAATCCTATTTAACATGCATCACCATCTGATTTTATCAACCATTATAGAGATGTATTATTGGTTTTCTCTTATTAATAAGCTCTTTTATTATATTAACAGCCTTTGTGTGACCGCTGTCCATGTGTTGCGACCAGGATGAAATCATTATTCTGCTGGTAATACCAATTTTTAATTATTAAGCGCTGTACCTCCATAATGATGACAACTTCATACCAAACTAAGAGCAATTATGTTGAAATCTTATTTAACATGCATCACCATCTGATCACATCATTTATAAACTAAACTTCCTTGTTTATGTTTGTGTATTAATTTCCTGTTTTGTATTTTTCAGGCAATCTGACGCCACCCTTTTATAGATGGTAGAATACAAAAGTAAAATCAAGTTTTTATTTAAATATACAAAATAAATCAATATTTTAATTGTCTATATCAAAGTACTTAACAAACTGTTTAACACGCTCGATCTCCCTCCTAGAGCCTCCACAACAATAAAACGCAGAGAAAGATGATTTCCTTCTTGTTGAATCGCTTCCAGCTGGCAGCACTTTCCGAATCAGAGGGAGTGCCGCCATAGAACACCTCCTTGTGGGCTGCTTTTCGCACTGCGGCGCCACCATTGAAGTCGCGCTTCTTCTTGAAGCTCTCGTAGTACCAGTCCATGCCATCCTTGCGATCCTGTCGATCCACCTGCAGCAGCTCCAGCTCTGTGCGCTTCTGTGCCATTAGCTGATGGTCGCTGGCCCCGCCCTCGTTGTCCGCACTGGGTGTGGTGCGCTGATATTCCTCCGCTGTGGGCTGCTCCCCTTGTGGCTGGTGCGGAGTATAGACCTTGGTTATGGTGGAACGCCCGCCGCTACGCAATGGAGGAGGCGGTGGCACCGTGCTTGTCGAACGCACGGGCGTCGCCTGGTAGTCACTGAGGCTCTGCTGCGTTGTCGTTGTTACCCAGGAGTGGCTCTTGATTTGCGCCACGTGTTCCTCTGCTGGAGGAATCAGCAAAATCGTCTCTGCGGTGGTTGTCTGCACCAGTGGAGGAGGGCGTAGCAAGGTCACAGACTGCGTCTCCAAATCATCATCATCGTAGTGCGAATCCTGCTGCTCCTGCTCGCTGCTCGAGGAGGAATCATTGACAATTGGGATCTCCGTGGTGGTGCTCGTGGTGGTGGTCCTAGCAGTGGTTGTTGTGGGTCGCGTGGTGGCTGCTCTTGTGCTTTGGATGAGCGGCACAATTGTGGTCACATCGGGCGTCATCTCGGTGACATCATACGTGGCCGATTCGACACTTTCCACACTATTGGAGGTGGGTCTCGGGCGTGGATACACGGAAATTGGCGAAAAGTTACGCTCGGAATTGGCCTGTGCCGGCTCTTGTGGCTTTCCTGTGACATTGACAGCCTCCACATGGCCGCGTCGTTGCTGCGGATCATGGACGGGCATAAAGCCACCCACATGGGCCGGCACAATGGGTCGAAAGCCACCGCGTTCGATGCTCGACGGTTCCCGGAAGGTTGTGCGAAAAACTCCGACTGTTGTGGCCGAACCGCCGCTCTCATTGCTCAGTGGCTCCTCGGCCGAGCTGGTGGTGGTGTCCACTTCCATGTAGCGATTTCTGGCCACATTCTGCTGCTGCTGCTGCTCCTTGAGGTACTTTTCGAACTCCGCACTGTTGGGCTGATACATTCGCGTCTTGCCCCGCCCGCTGGGCAGATTGATGCTGGCCATTCGATGCGTGGCTGGCATCTCATCGCTCCCATCCGTTCGCTGCTTGCGCCCACGATCCCCGAAGCCAAAGAAGCGGCCCAGACTCACACTGGGAATGGGATAGCCAAAGAAGGTGAAGGGAGAACCTCCACCCGCGGCACCAGCACCCGCCTGTGGCCGCCTGTTGAAGTATTTGGTGTGCAGCAGCGTGTTGTTCAGATCAATGTTGCTGTTGAGCGTGGGACTGGCCGTGGGCTTCGGTCGCTGCGATGTGCTCAGCACTGTGTTGGCCACATCCGGCGTATCTGTGGAGTCCACATACTGATCGTAAAAGTATTCGCTCTCGCCCACCATGGGTCGATCGCCGGGCTGCCTGGTGACCTCGAGCACCTCACACTCGTCGGTGAACTCCTCAGGCAAGTCACGCTGGAAGACATCGCCGTGTTCGTTGAGCAGCGGCAGATGATTGGCTCCCTCTGCACGCTCATTATTGCTGAACACATCCACGCCCGCACACAGACTGCGCTCCATGCGTGCAGCTCTCAGCAGGCGACCATCCTGGCACTTGGGCCCGGGATAGGGGAAATTGGTTTCCTGCAGCCAAACCGAAAGCCATTGCATCTCGCAGTTGCAGTCAATGGGATTGCCTGAGATGGAAGACAGAGTTTCAATTGGGTGCCCATGTAAGACTGGATCTTGCTCTTACCATCCACATCCAAGATGGCAATGTTGCCTCGGAGATTCCTGAAGGTGCGCTCTTTGATGCTTCTCAGCTGATTATTGCGCATGGAGAGCACACGTAGCCTGGGCATGGTCTCAAATGGGGCACCCTGAAAGGAAGAGTTTCCAAATGAAAGTCTAAAGTTAAAGGGGAGAATAATCACCCACCTGTATGCGACATATCTGATTGTTATCCATTTTCAGTTCCACCAACCAATTGAGTGCCTTCAATGGCATTGTGGAGACCAGCTTTACCCCATTGGTGGACAAATCCAGCACCTCCAGATTGCGCATGCTCCGCAGACCAATGTTCTCCATGTTCCTGAAGTGATTGTTGGACAGATTGAGGAACACCAAGGAGTTGGCATTGTTGAAACTCTCCGGGGAGATGTAGCGCAGTTTGTTGTACTGGAAATGGGAGGCCAGTAGACTGGGTAGCTCCTCGAAGACGTGATCCTTGAGCTCCACCAGCTTGTTGTCTGCCAGCACAAACTCCTGCAGCTCATCGAGACCCTTGAGGGCGCCTGGCTCCACATTCCTGATCTCATTGCTGCTCAGATCGAGATACTGCAGCTTGGGCAGATTGCGGAATGTGCCCTGCTGCAGTTCCACAATGAGATTGTTGGACAAACGAATCTCCACCACGTTGCGCCAGCCGCCAATCACATCGGACTGAACGCGAGAGATTTGATTGTAGCTCAGATCTATGTCCCGAAGGTTGTGCAGGTTGCCCAGGCCCACCGATATGTCCAGCAGGCCATTGCCGGACAAGTCCAAGTACTCCAGAGATCGCTGCATATCGAAGGCTGTCGGGGAGATGCTGCGTATCAGATTGCGCGATAGATCCAGCTGCTCCAGGCGACTGTTGTTCGAGAAGAAGTTGTCGGTGATGGCCTCCAGCTTGTTCGACTGCAGATTGAGATTCCGCAGCTCGGCCAGCGGCAGCAGTGCCCGCTCATCCGCCTCGCCCAGCTGGTTCTCCTGCAGGTGGAGCAACTCCAGCCGCTGGATGCCTATGAAGGAGGTGTCCTCCAGCTGGCGCAGTTGGTTCTGCGCCAAACTCAAGACCCGCAGCTGCGCGGCGCCCTCAAAGCCGTGTCTGGGCAGCTGCTCGATGCGATTCTGGCTGAGATCGAGCATGCGCAGGTTGGGCAGCTGCAGGGACTTGCTGGCCGCAGCGGGCAGAGCTGAGATTTCGTTGCCCTTCAGCGAGATGCGTTCCACAATCCGTGGCAGGCCCGCAATGACCGCTGTCAGCTGGTTGAAGCTGGCGTCGACCTCGAACAGCCGTTCCAGATGCAGCAGCGTGGAGGAGTGTATCTTGGTCAGCCCATTGGAGGATATATTTAGCGTTTCCAGCAGCGGATTGTGGCGGAAACTATTCGGAGCCAGCTCCCGCAGTCCATTCTCGCTGAGATCGAGACGCCGCAGCGAAGGCAATCCCGCCAGCAGCTGGGAATCCACTCTCAGAAACTGATTCTGAGCGAGGTCCAGGCCTTTGAGACCGGGGAGGTTCCAGAACGGCAGCGGCAGATCGGAGGAGAGACTGTTGTTGCGCATGCGCAGCTCTCGCAATGCCGGCATGGCCATCAGGGCGTCCCGCTCGATCAGCCGCAGCTGATTGTTGTTCAGATGCAGCTGCTCCAAGGTGCCGTGACCCCGCAGCGAGCCATAGGGCAGATCACTCAGCAGATTCCCACTCATGTCGAGGTAGCGCAGCGAGGGTAGGGCATCGAGCAGTGCCCTCAAGGCCTCCACATGGCCAATTTCATTGTTGTAGATGTGAACGGCCTCGACGCCACTGCCACTGGCCTGGAGCAGCGACTCCGGATGTATGCGCCGGATGAGATTGTTCTGCAAGTAAATTGTCTTCAGCTGTGGCGTGCGCAGGAAGGCGCCGTACTGCAGCTCGGTGATGCGATTGTCGTTCAGGTGCAGCTCCGACAGATTGGGCAGATCCACAAACGAACCGTCCTCGATGACATTGATGATGTTGTGGTCCAGTCGCAGCTTCTTCAGATGCTCCAAGTCCTTCACAATGCGCCCCACCATGCCCACATCGCTGATCTGATTGTGGGACAACTTGAGGCTGACCAAATTGGGCAAACGAGTGAGCGCTCGCAGGTGAATCCAGTTGAGTCCGTTGTGTGAGAGATCCAGGTTCTTCAGCGAGATCAAACCATCGAACAGACCCGCCTCGAGTCGTGTTAGACCCGATCCCCCAGTGATGTGAATGTGCTGCAGCTTGGGCAGATGCCGGAAGATGTGGGGCGCCAGTTCCTGCAGCGATCCCGTCTGCACGCTCAGGTACGTGAGGCTGAGCAGACCCGAGAAGTCCGGCAGATGCTTCAGCTCGTCGCTCTGTATGGTTATGGCCAGCATATTGATCATGCCATTGAGACACTCTGCGGGAATGCTGCGCAGCTGCGGCTCCACAATGAAGATCTCCACCAGGCTGTTCTCCAGCTCGTTCAGCCAGCCATTGGACACCCGTTCGATGCTGTTGTAGCGCAGCATCAAGCGCACAATCTGCAGATTGCCAAAGAATCTTCCCGGCAATGCCGGCAGCTGATTGTTCTCCAGCACCAGCTCATCGATTTGACTCTTTATATTCCGCTCCACGGCCTTCAAGCCATCCATGATTTGGGGCAGATTGCTGTGCGAGCACCTGCAAGGTAGAGAGTGGAAGCTTGTAGCTGGGGAAGGCAGTTCCTTTGTGGGGTTTTACTCACCATATTTGTATTTCCTTGCCACGCAGCGAACAGCGACAGGGTAGAATGGCCTGCGAGGGCGGGCAGCTGTCGGCTCTGGTGAGGAATGTCCCCGTCCCCGCACAGAGCAACAGGATGATTGGGAGTATCATCATCATCATCATCAAACAAAAATGGATTAGACCATGGATGAAGTCGAGTGCTGTGGGCCAATCTGGCGCATAGCTAGAAAGAAAAGAGAAAGCAACCATTGGGTTTTGT